CTCTTGAAGTAAGCGGATTGCGATCCGCTAAACTCGTACTTGTTCTAAGTATAGAACGGAAGGTCGGTGACCTAACTTACGCTTCCTCAAAGCGCAAAGCTACGGCAGCCCCTGGTGTCATCGTACAAAGGTGTGGATCACACAAGTCGGAGTAATCACATCTTGGTGTGGCTACACCTAAACAAGAAGCCTTCACGTGGCAGGACTGCCCGTGGCGATGCATCATATTAAGTTTATACTATATTACTTAAGTTTTACTTTATTAATTAGGTGATACTATATTAATCTGGAAAAACTCAGGTTTTTGATATTGGCGGCTCTGCCGCCACTAGAATAATTGACTACAGTTTTAATTTTGAACAAAAGAGTGTATTTGCCTTGATTAAGGTTTGGGGGTACTCTTGGAGTGTAGCGGACTGCGATCTGCTACACTCATACCGGTTTTAATATTGAAGGTAAGGTCGATGAGCTAGAACGAAGGTCGGTGACCTTAAGTAAGCTTTTTTAAGCAAAGAGCTACGGCAGCCCCGCTGCAGAAAGTATAGAAAAACCAGGTAACATTGTGTTGTAAGTCTATCGGTTGTATGGGGGTATTCAGCAATTCCGTAGTGTACAGCAGCGGCAAACCATTTTTTCTGTTCGAGCCTTTTGTCCAATCTATTTATAACATCTTGTGGTTAATGACCACCGTGCTTGACAATGGTTGAAACTGCTAGCGTACCCTTGCGCCGCTCAAATAGTTTGTCTCAGTAAACTGGGCACAATTATTGTCTAACCCGCTACCAACGCGACCACTTGTACCACGTAGAATTGTCGTCGCCCCTATCTACTCTATCAACTGCTGCGTCTTCCGATGTTCTCGTCACTGCTATGTACAGCACTGGCTGACGCCGTACGGATTGGCTGCAAAATTTAACGGAGATGGGCACTGTCCTACTTGTTCGACAAATATCATGAGTCGAGCTGGAGTAGCGCTGTAGTCTTGATCACTGTGTTGACACTGAGTCCAACACGTACTGATAAGTTGATAGTTGGGAAAGCAGTGCGTGAATACACGGCCCTGCCAGGACGACGCGGGTGGCATATTGTGGGGATTGCACTTGCGCAGGTAAGGCCGAATGTCGATGTACCATGTATGATTATTGGACGGACTGAAATGTGCTGCGATAGTCGGTCCTAGTAATTTACAAAATTTCTTGTTGCTGCATCGTTACGCTGTGGAATTGATGCATAGAAATAAAGTTCACAAAGCGTATTTCTTACTTGCTGCAAAAAAATAAGCTGCTGCTGCAATAAACACGTTTCTTTGATAAATGAATATTTTTCGGATTTAGCTTCGCGAATATTCGTAAATATTCTTCCCATTTTTGATAATTCAGATAAAGCGAAGAGTGCAGGCAGTAACATCAACACCTTAATCTCGGCTGTTTTCATCGTACTGTATTGTCAGTCATATGTTGGGCAGTGAGTCGACTGCTGGTCGGATATCGATGCACCTGGTTCACTGATTTATACGGTACGCCTTTAAGCATGAGCTACAGTTTTAAAACTCTCTGACTTAAATTCCTCTATTTTCATCAAGTTTACACGCGACTTTGCGTGTTCGCGTCGTCGTAGGTAAATTGCACTGCATTTTCACACAGCTAGCTACGTTTTTAAGTAAGGGTAAGCAGCAGATGAAGTTCCTTGAGCTTTAGCTTAGAAAATGGCATAGGATATGTGGAGGAATTCGGTGAAAGACATAGATTATGCACGTGGACGCTAAACATCAGCAAATTGAATTGTGCGCACGTGAATTGCGGCAGATGTATAGAGGAAACGTGGTGTCGAGTTCAATGTATCGTGTTCAATTGCTAGATTGCCATCAACTGGTAAAATGCACAACGTGTTCACAATATCAGCTGAACAATCGTCATATCGCGGTACTGATATAAATCATATTGTTGTCATCTGCGTTTAGACTGTTGCTACGCGCTCGACTGAATCTTTCTACGTGCTACGTTTGGGACAGCCGTGAAAGTTGGTTTAAGTTAGCGTGACAAGTAACCAGCTTGTCTGGTGATAAAAGGCGTTCTCCTTGGCTTTAGTTGGCTTGACTGCTTGCTCGCGATTACGTAGTAAAAGATCGAGGGCAATGCGTATATTAGTTTGAATTTATATCGTGTGGTAGCTGGAGCTGCTAACACACCGAGTCTCTAGCAGCAAATCGCTCTGAGAGCGTGCGATTTAAAGAGCAGCGCAAGACTGGGTGCTCTAGATCAACACCGTCCTGGGCACTCCGGTTGTTACTGCTCGTTGGGCTTAGCTTTTCCTCCATCTCGGGCGTGAGTGCGCAAAAGTACTTGCCACTGCGAACGTTTAGGAACTCCATCAAAATCTGCACAACGCCACGATGCGTGCTGCACTGTTCGATTGTAGCAGGCTCGACCTTCCGTAGCTTCGCAAGCACATCGTTTAAGAAATCATCAAGTGAATCCTCGTCGCTCACGCGCACGGGATTGATAGCGCTGCATGCAGCACAGACACTACAGGCAGCACAGACGTTGCGGTCATTCTTGGCTCGACACATTGCACTCACGAGGCGAAACATGTCCAGCATGCTTTTAAAATCCTCCTTACTCTTGTATACAGACGTGCTCTTGCCTTTGCAAGCCACCTTGACTTCGAACATCATGGTGTCACCTAGTGCGTGTGCCTCGAGCACCGTCGCACTCAGCGTACATACTCCTTCCTTCATTGCGAATATAAGTTAGAGTACAGAAACGACGGTGGCTCAAGTTTTGACGAATGGTTACTCTGAGGCAGGTCGGCTTTTGCCGTGGCAAAAACGAACGGCGGCTAGCCCGCGACGCTCTCTGACACGCCCTTCGCTGTACGGCGCTCCAAGATCACTTGATCTCAGTAAGAGCAACTCAGATTCACTATGCACGACAAAGAAAACTTTTTTACTAATCAGCGCACTTTAGCAGACGAGACATTCGAGTCACGTTCCCGAGACATTCTACAGGTTCATACCGGAAATAATATACTGTTTGGGAGAGAGTTCCAAGTAAAAAAAAATTACGATCACGAAGGCTATGAAGGTAAAACTGGATCTTATCTCCAGGTTAAATGATCCATGTCCTAGACTTCAATTTAAGTCGATAGATCTTAAGGATGCGCCGTGGGTAAGACACCTATAACGTCTTGGCTGAGATGCAATGAGTCTAGTCTCTTATAGTCTCAAGTGACACCTTTGCACTGACAGCTGATAGTTTTAGCCTCCACACAAGTCTTACACGCGATTTGTATATCGTTATTGGGAGGCAGAGAACAAATCTACTATCAAGACAAGCGATAACTATTAAGAGATGGGAAACTTACCGATCATTGACGGCAAAGTCTTAAAACGATGTATTACTGATAGAGTTAGAACAGCAATAAGTGCCTTACAATCTAAACTCAAAATCTTCAGCATATCTGACGCCAGAGTTCGTCTTCCCATCTCTTTGCTGTTGGGGCTGAACCTGAGATCTCGTAGCGAAGAATACTTAGTAAAGTGGAGATTGCTCTCTTTCATTCCCAATTAGAGTAGTGTATCATTACGGCACAGTGGATTGTGCTGAAGCGTCACTTAAATTACAGACCAGTCTTGAAAAAGTCAGTTTGTAGGACAAAACTATCCATATGACAACAGGAGTCATACGTATGACAAGTAGTTGTCCTCAAAAGTGGCCTGGCTCACAGAAATTAATTTTATCAGGTGGTTCGTGGGATTGCGCACTTCTTATCAACCTGTCAACTGCCTCTTAAATTAGAAATGCTGGCAGTATAACACTGAACTTATTATTATATTAAGTTTGAGCGAAAATAAATCATTAAATGGACAGCAGAAATATTCGTTGCGCTCTTTTGTCACTATTGTACTCAATACATGCGTTTAGTTAATGTTCTATACAATGCGTACTTGCGGCTCAAGCACGAAACGCAACGACCTTACAAACAATTGAACGGCAGTCCACGGGCCTGTAGCCCATTCTTGGAACAAGCTGAAAACAAATGTTATGTTTCTAGAGTTAGAGAATATGGTCCAGCATATTTCTGCAGCAAACCTTTAAATAGGTCTAAAAAAAAACTTCCTAGATGATCATCCAATTTTTTTTACGCATGTCGATGAATCGACGAGTGTGTTACTGCTATATGACCACGAAATGTGTATTCGTCATGATGCTTAAGAATTATGTTTTCATTGTGCAGTGACAATGCCATACCCGCCATACCGCTGTGCTTGTAGTGGGTCTCTACAAGCATAATTGGAGATGGACATATACGGTACGCATTCCATCAATGACTGCTTCTGGTTCGAAAATCCACGTTTAAACAGGTGATGAGCCCAATAACTGAATCCAGCAGTGCGGCAACCTGCAGCGTCTAGGGTGTAGGTATAGGTCAATAATGCGCTCCGCATTATATCATCCTAGCTGTTCATAAATGTGGTGTACAAACACAAATCGTGTACTCGCTTTAATTGTGTGTCATACGGGCGTGTGTCACTGCTGAACTTGGCCATAGACAGTACGCTATCCGCACATACATTTGAACAGGATATGGCAAAGAGTCAGCCTTTAAAAAAGGAGTAGCGACGTCAGCGCCCGAATAATCGTGACTTTCGTCGATTATCAGGCGCGGATTGTAAAGGAGGAGTACTCGCAAGTGAAACCCGATGAGGACGAGCGTATGGCGGGATCTGCAACACGATTTTTTTGCACCTTGCACAGGATAAGCTTTGACTAACCTGGTCCGCGATTCCGAACGCACCGAGAACGGACTCGTATGCTTCATTCAGAAGCGAACTTGGGAGGCTTTTAAATATACTATCAAGTCACCCTAACATTGATGCTACATCTAATTTTTTATCAGATCGGTCAAAATTTATACTATACAATATCTACAATAATGAAAGCATGAGTAACCCATAGCGCAAGGCTAGGAACCCGCACGTTTCATAGGCCCCTCAATTACAGTGTACTATCACTCTCATCCTTACTGAAAACTAATTTGATATATCGTCATGTGTTACACCATAACACTTCAAAGCTTCACGCTAATTTAGATGGACAACAGTATGATGGGCATATAGATTACGTGTTACACCACCCTCAACTAGGTGTGGGCTACACGTATGTCAACTGTCCAACCATTGTTCCGAAAATTATCTTACATCCTCCCCGATTTTGTTTCTCATTGGCGCTGTTTAAAGTTGGCGACGAGATCATCACAATGAGCTACGTGTCAAATCTATTTCTATTTTTCCAGCTAGCTTTTCTCTCTGTTTCACCATGCCACTGGGCAAGCCATTCTGGTCGGCGATTCAATTGTCTTGTCTTCAAAAGACATGATTTAGAGCTGATCCGCTGAGTCATCGTTCACAACGTTGGACGCTTCGGAGATAGGATAAAAACGAGATTTATCTGTGGTCGGTTCATATTTTGATAACACATCAGCACTGAGGGTTGAATTCATTTTTTTCATGCTACTGACAACTTGAGTTCTACCACGTTAGGATTTATCATCTTGATGACTTCGAAAGGCTCAACTTTTATTGCTGCGAACTTTGCTCTTTTGTTTTCCATATCTTTGGCGCATACTTGAGAGGTATTCTTTGAGGGTCTAGCATAACCAGATCTCCTGCTTTGAATTTGGGTTGTTTACCTCTTCTCTTCTGACCCTACTTTTGCTTTTGGGTGACCTGAGCTTTGAGTAGATTCTCTCGTGCTTGCTCAATTATTTTTTGTCTTTTCTCACATACTCTTCAGTCTGAACATCAATTTTCACTTATGCATCATTTGGACTAAATCCTTTTTGCCATGAAGAGCGTTCCTTTCTCCCGGTATCAATCTCAAATGGAGAATCTCCCTTGGATGCTTTGATAAGTGTCGAATGAGCATATTCGATAGTGCCTAAGTAATCTGTCCAATCTGTATCATTATAGGACACCAAACATCTAAGTGCATCTTCAACAACAAAGTTTCGTCGTTTAGTTTGTTCATCAGCTTGAGCGCGATGTGCTGACGTCTTACTAAGTCGAACACCCATGATTGTCATCGGAGATTTCCAAGATGATGAAGTGGGCTTGCTTTATATTCTCACTGATGATAACTTCAGGTAAGCCATGGTGTTGACCGAACAGACGGCTACCGCAGTACGCTTTTTGATGTGTATGATTGTTTCAGCGTCACCCGCCTTGCGTACAGTCAGGTCGTTTTAGTCTCAGCTCGCTATACTACGTAATCCAGCTGGTCTTTTTTTCTCGTTACCACAAATTTTACTGCTACAACCATTAATGTAAAATCAAGATTAAGAAATTGTCCATCTTGCCCACTTGCACAAGACTTATATCGATCTTGGCTCACTTCATTTTACCAAAATGTACAAGCCAACGCCGACACTATATAGAATAGCGTTTCAAACTAAACATGCTCATGAAGTGTAGTGAGGTCATCTGATTTTTACCTAGTGGTATCATAAATCCTCGTCATTATTGACGCAATGAACTCAGAATAAAATGTATTAGCGTTCAGTAGGAAATGAGTCCTACACGTGAAAGGCAAAATAGAATAAAAACATTTTTTTTGTAGAAAACTGTATCTTGAAAAGAGTGACATAGTGGAGCGGAGGTCTAATAGAAAATCGATTAATCTGTCAGATTCTCAAAAAAGGTCAACCATAATGCGCTTATTTCATCAAGCAATCCAATCTGATGTCGAATATAAGCAAAGAAGTTGCAGTAATCTAAATCACGCAAATTGTAATTTTGACATTAAAAAACTCTCACATTATCTACATATACTAACTTGCGCACAGATACGTCTTGACGTCAATAATGAATGCGAGATAAAATTCACTCACGTTTGGCGTAAGAGTGCCTTCACATGCTTGCGCCCCTCTCCTCGATATCAAATTGCCCAGTCGATTACAGTGTAGCGAACATCGTTCCAAAAAGTTCTCGTCATTTTCCTCCAAATCTAATCCCACCCTCTAAAAGTCATTGATCCATTCCTTGCACTGGGATCTTTTTATTTTGACATCAGCTTTCTCACAATTAATTAGGTCCCAATCGGCGTGTCCAAGTCTATTTAACATCGACGTGTACGTCTGTTAACGGAATTTCTACTACCAGCAAGGCCACTGCCGTGTGGCATCCGCGTTGAGCACTGCTTTTCTGCTTCGCTCGAATTGAAATCACTCACAATAGTTATCAATATTCAGCAATGCAGTAATCGTCCCGCAACAACAGTACGATGGCGTCGACGACTCACTGTAATCAGTATTGCATTAGTCGGAACTAATTACACCCGATGCCATGCATATGCTATAAAGATTGTATCGCGTGATACATCATTATGTCGCCTATTCTAGCAGCTCGGGTCGCGACATCGCCCACAAGGTGCACGTTGACACGCAAGTGTGCCTTAAATCTCTCCATGTACTTTTTGAGCAAGTCAAGGGCTCTATCGTATTTGGTTTGGCAAGTCAAACACGATCTGAACTGGTAAACTAGCGCTGATTCGAAGAAAAAAAAGATACTATCAGAGCGGTTCTCTTTGTGCAATATACCAGTGTGCTGTAATCTCTGCAGTTCTATACCCTCGACAACTTGCATTGGGTAGAACGCTATCTAGCACCCATTTTTCCACAGAAGTGACACGTAATTAAGATTTTATTAGTGATTGTAGTTGCTTACATCTGCAAACATAAATTTGACCTTGACAGTGCGCAGCTCCATCGACACGCAACATTGTTTATTGATTATTATGTTCTCGTTAGGCAGCCAAAACATATCAAGCTTTCAAACCAGTGGGCCAGCTCAAAATTAACCATCATTTGGATCCGGCGCACTCGCGGAGGTCGTGCCCCCCCCCCGGGCCACGACATCTTTAAGCACTAATCGCATATTGATCTCCACAAAATTGTGTTTATCGATTTAGTTGATGCAGCCTGCGTAGATGTGTCCATATTTAAGGCAAAGTTGTAATCGGTAGCAGTGATCGGGGGACCTAGTCCCACTATTTGGTCTACTCTGGTAAAAATATGGAAAAATACATAGGGGATTTACTGATCTATAGGTCGCAAGATTAGTTGCTATCTCCTCGTTTCTGTATATTGTATTCTGCTCATACTGGACACGCTACTGACGTACCAATTCTATAATTCTATTCAGGAAGTGCCAAGCACGCGTTCATGGCGTATTGTGGTGGTAGATGGAGCGTTCATTGGTGTTTTAGTGCTATTTAGCTGCTGGTCGAGGCGTTTTTCTTCTCCAAGCATACCCCCAATCTCTTCGAACCTGTCCTTGTATAGGCTCAAGGATGTCAAAGCTTTCGAGCTTTGCAGCTAGGTTTAAAGATTGCATCATACTCAGTCGGCTATTCTTTTTTCCTTTCCCGATTGTATGTCTCGATTTTGAGCGATCGTTTTGAGCCGCATACGAGGAGAGATTACTATGTCTCAGTAGCGTGGCTTCTATTTTCGCTCCGCGAATTGATAGCCATTAAGGTAAAACTTCTAAATCTGACACGCAGATCCAAACAAAGTGTATGATTTTCAGGCGACATCACCTCGCCACCTTTTTGCCCATTCGCCTGGATGAATAAAACTTATTTTGAGTTTTCAAAGCTGCAAATTTGCACAGCCGTCAGAAATTGTAGACAGCAAGTGGGGGGAGGGGACATTGAAGATGACAATTATGGATTTGACATTCTTGCGTCTTGTATCATGGACAGATAGAGCGTGAGACATGGTCTCGTCCTAATCCTGGATTCGAGAAATTACCTCATCCTAGATCTGATGTGGCCGGAATGCCACAGACTCGGAGTCGAAATAGTTACTCATCACGCATTTCACTCCTGGTGAAGCATTGGCGGGTCATCAATTCACCCATGCCAAGTAAAAGAAGCGCTTCTGGCAGATAGACAAAGCTGCGATAGCTTCCGTGCAGAAAATGTGAATATCCGAATCGGATAGTAACGGTGCTGCTGGGTGCTTCAAACAGAGCTCGAAATACAGATGCGGGAGTCGCTGATGTCTCAGAATGGATGTATCAGGATGAAACGGAAATGATGAATATCGTGATCTTCAGAATGTATGTCTGTCGAGACGGGAAAGAATGACCGATTGCCATGGCTCCCACGAATCAGCTCTAATGCGACCATGAAGAACATCATCTAGGGGGCGTTGAGAATAGAAACAATTAAGCGTCAGGATTTTCCGTTCCAGATACGGTGGAAAAAATATACGCTTTGAGTGAAAAGATCATGTCGTTAATTTATAAAGAACAGTTTTTCCTTGCCATGTTAAACGGAACTGCTGGCACAGCAACATTGTGTGATGCGCCCCTGCGGAGCAGTAAAGCTGCCCTCACGCAATGCAGTGGAGCTTCATATCTTTATTGTGTATTTGCGGTTGATGAACACGATTTTTTGTCAATCATGACAGATGTATACATGCAGCGATGGAATATACTTTATTTGTGTTAGCTTGCTCAGTTATGTTTCTATACACAAATTTTGTCCACAACCTTTTGAGCGTCCACTTGTGAATATACATCCCGTGAGTTAGTGAAGAGAAAAAGAGGTACATTTTTTCTCGTGGTCTAGACGGACAGCAGTGACACATGTTTGTGATCGCGATAAACGACGCAAATCGAAAATCTTGAAGTGGTGGCAGGGCTTACAGGCCTTTGGAAGGCAATAGAGCCGTCTATAGTTAGTTGCTCCATAAAATAATGAATAGATGTATGTGTTGCAGTAAGACCTCTCGATCTTATGAGCGCGCAATGTCAGTTAACAACCATGTGAGAAACGGTCGTGTATTTGACGTCGTTCTGTATCAGCACCTGTTGATCTTCGCCATCTGTTGTATGCAGTTAGCAACATAAGGTTCAAATACAGAGTACAGCGTGCGATTCTATTTGATTTGGTCCACCCTGTCGAAATCTGAATCATTTTTGATTCCAGTATACCTGATTTTCTAACCAATCATATTGATGCTAATTCTTGGGACTTCTATCCCACTCGAATATTCTTAAGTCCAGGCACAATTATTACCTCGTGCATGGCGTGGCTGCGGCAGCCGCACAAGCCTACAGACGCCAAGCACATGCAAGACTATCTTATTAATTGGAATGCAGGTCCTCTTGGTGTTGTGCTGCAGCCTGATTTAGGCGCTGATATGCCCCCTGTCGTGGCGCAGCTGCTACCTCAGCCTTCCGTGCTTAAAATGGCGGGCGTGCGTGAAGGAGACCTCTTGATCAGCGTCAACGGAAAGAAAACCACCCGTCTGGGCTACGAAAAAGTGGTGCGTCTGTTATTTAAGGAGCGTCTTCCCATGGTCTTGCACTTTCGCTCGCCATTGCCGGTTTCTGAGGCGTCGCGAGGCGTGTTAGGGGTTGTTCCGGACAATGTTCCACCTGTACGCGGTTATGAACGCTCACGTGCCAGTAGTGCCTTACCTATGAAACCTGTGAGTCGCGCCCGGAGACATTCTAGCCTTGAGCATTTTGAACCGAAGCCAAAGTCAAATGCGCACATTTCTACTAATGATAGCGAACATCATAAGCAGTCAGAGACGAAGAAGCAGAACAAGAATAAGTCTAAAGCTCATGATGTCAGCAAAAAAAGTGTCGAGAAAGGTAGACTTCGGAAGCAATATAGTGTTGTGTGGGAACGTGGATCGCTTGGAATCTCCTTTCGAGCATACAACAGCAAGGTGAACGTACCGTGTGTCGATTATATCAGCTCAAAGATTGGACAAGGGCGCGGTATGGATCGCGTTTGTATCAATGATGTGCTCATTGCGATTAATGGAGAAAAAACAAAGGCTCTTGGCGTGGAAAAAGTGCTTCGTTGGCTTCATGTCATTGAAAAACCTGTGGTCCTGAGATTTCATGCATCCTCTAACCGTATTGAAAAGACAGTGAGTGAACTTTTACCACACGCAGTAAAAGAAGATTCAGAAGTACTGTTCAAACCAAGACGACCTACGTTTCCGCATTCACAGCCTGAGTACGAGCCGCCACCGCGACCACCACGTCGAAACAATAATTTGGATCAATCTGTGCCGCAGCGTCATTTAGATCAAGGAATATCAGAGATCGCCGACATTGCGGCAGTGGCATCGCAACCGTCACAAGAAAGTGTCTCATTTTTTGAAATGCAGCCGATGCCGATCGAGATTAATTTGCAGCAGACTCAATCGGATGTGCTTACGAAAGAGACACAGCACTTTAAAAATATGGTAAATGTTCGTGCACAAAGTCAGAAGGATATCAGAGTGGCTGGAAATTCTCGCCGCGATCCAATTGACGTCATTCCACCCCAGTATGATGCGCAAACTCGCGCGCATATAGACCCAGACCGTCGTCAGTCTCACCAGGTTCAGACTCAGCTATATCATTCGCAAAAGCTGCTACCTACACGATCTCGAGCTGGCTCGACTACTCGAGGCAATATCCAGCTCCAGGAGCTATCAGAGAGTAATCATAACAATCTGCTACCAGCGTCAAGTACTGCTGCTCCACACCCTTTGGCGTCTTGTGAAAGCCATACAAGCAATTTATCACTACTAAGCTTTAACGAGGCAGTGAATGTTGTTGCTCGAGCTACAGGAAAGCCTATCGAAAAATGTGAGTTTGGAGGAAAGCCATTGCTTGATATCAAGGAAGGGTCAGTGCAGGCCAAGCTCATGTATATTTATGCTAAAGCGTGTTTAGCAAAGGAGTGTAACGTAAACAACGACCCAACATCTCAAGAGAGCCAGCGACCTCGGACCCCTGGTAATCCACTGGGTCGCAAGACTAATCCGAAGTATTTATCGTACACTATTCTGCAAAACGACTCAGTAGAGTCAAATCATACTTCTACAGATGAAGTTTGTGCTTCCGAGGACAAAGGCAAGTTAAAACACAAGGGTCACCAGGGCGAAGTTACGAATGGGCTGGATCATGACCTGGAGTTCAAGCATAACGGTGCTTCTAGTGAAAATCTGACTCAAAGTTCAGCAAAAATGCAAAAGGACATCTCGATTAAGCAACCGACGCAATCAGGTCTTACCACTTCATTTTCTTCAGCAAGTTCTACTTTCTCAGTTAGCAGCGATGTGACCCCGAGTGCGCCTCCTGACCCACCTGTGAATTTCGTGGAGGGTTTTATACCGTTAAATGACTTTACTGTGCAAAAGGTTTTAGCGAAACGCCACGTACCGTCAAGCCCTGTTAGCACGACGCTGCCGTCTATAGCTGTCAATGATGAGATTAAATCTATAAACGAACAGGATAACTTAGTACATACTGTCAAGACTGAAGAAGCTGGTGCTGATGTTAGTGAAGAATCTTTGACAAATGGCTTTCAGCGAAGCAAGGGGAATGATGCAGAGCGAGTGCGATCTATGTACGAATCGGATCTACTGCAAAAGCCTGCTGAAGCTTCTAACAACATTTTCAGGCCGACAGGAGATAACGATCATGCTAATGCAGACGCTTGCGCTGATGATGATGTCGTGAATGATGAACCTTTTGATGAACGAGATTTGGCGGCAAGTGTGGCATCGCTTGACGATCTACTTGATCTCCCGCTAAAGGATAACGACCACGTCGATGAGGATCACGATGAGTTATTATACGATGGTGACGAAGCGAAGGATGACAGCCAGAAGAGAGAAAAGGGGGATGAAAAACAAAATTTGATGAACAAGTCCTTGGGCTTGAAGCTGGATCAAGTGCAAGAAGAGGAGGATGGAGAATCAGAAGCTCAAGACGACTACGAAAATGACAAGACAGAGAAGGTAGTTGGTCACGTCGAGACAAGGAACGAGGGGACTATGATGCAAGGTATCCTTAATGGGCTCCAAGACGAGAAACACCTCGAAGATAGTGCTTTGTCCAATGTGCTTGTGAACGAGCTCTACCGTGATATTCAGGATGTTCGTGAAGTCATCAAGGATAAGTCCGCAGTCCTTGTACTTGTGAAGAAAAGCATGATAGACGAGATTCAGGAGATTCTTCAAAGCTTACAAATGGAGATGCAGTTTGAGCGTCACTCGACTGTGGCGATAGGTTCTCCGGCAAATCCGATGCAGGACTCTCAGCAGCGTCGAAGTACAGAGGGCGAACACTGCTTTCGTTGTGGTGCCGCTGGAGATTTAGCAGAATTGGGCGTCGCTGGCGAGCGCCGTGAATTGTACTGTGAAGAGTGTTGGGAGTTGTTTTTTTTCAGCGAAGAAAAGGAGTCGCCTGTGATTAAAACGAGTAAAATTCTAGCGCCATCAGAAGTTGGACGGCTCACTGCTGACGAAGATGCTTTAGATGAAGCGCTTAAGTACAGCTTTCACGATAGTTCTATCACTCGCGAGGACATAATTTATCCATGGCGAAGTTTGCAAGGCAGCGACTCTCTTTCGTCATCTTCTCGGGACTCGAATGCATCGAGTATTACTGACCGCGCCGATGAAGTGTGGCTATAAGCTACTTAAGTAGTCGGTGAGCGGTTGTTGAAAACATTTTAGTAGGTGCGAGCAATAGTGACGGCAATTTTGTACAACGCCATTCGATACAATACCCTATATCTTTCGATAAAATAGCATAAAACGTATACTATTCTGACTGGATAAATCTCTCATTCTATTTGTTGATAGGTGAAAAGAATTTGTCCGCTTCCGTTTCTTCACTTCAAGGACTCATCTACAAGCGGTCTACGTTAAGAATCCTTGACGCTACTTGTCCCCTAATTTCGTATCACACTTACGCAATGTTTCGCTATTTCCGCCCCAATGTTTTGATGCATGCTGGCATTTCGAACCTTTTACAGACTACGCGCGGATTGACGATTCCAACGTCGCGTCGCGCTCACTCGCAGCTTTTCGCGACCTCTGGCCGCCTCGATCGTCTTACCGCTGACACTAGCATTCTTCACATGGCCCGAAGAATGACAACAATTCCCCCAAATGATGGTCAAAAGAAGAAGGCCGTCGGTGAACAGCTTTGTTGTCCACAATGCGGAACCGCACTCGTTCTTGCTGAGCCGTTGGGTAGTACGGACAAGTCGACATCATCAAATTATCCGGTAGACACATCATCATCCACATCAACGTTCAGTGTTGGGTTTAAAAAGAATGATGTGGTCAAATGCATGAGCTGCAACTTGCACTTCGCACTTAAGCCTCAACCACCGGTTCAACCCAGCTCTACGTTTCGTAACGCTGCAGCGGCTGCCGCATTAAGCTCTTTGAGCTCATCACTGTCGCCAGGTATACCGACTATTAGAGGCTCTAGTATGGGTGGGCCAACGTATAGTGGTAACACTTCGTCGTCTAGTCGCGTCAGCCACATGAACGCTGATGGTGAGTTTGAGAAGCTAGCGAATGAAGCGCATTTTGCTGCTGCGGCGGACACTACTGTTACTAAAAATCGCGTTTTGACGCCTCGAGAAATCTACAATGGGCTAAATGAGTACGTGATTGGTCAGGACAAGGTTAAAAAGACACTCGCTGTAGGTGTCCACAATCACTACAAACGTCTTCATGCTCTTGAGTTACTTCAAGCAAAAAAGGAGGCTGAGGCTTCTTGTGTCAAACATAACGCAGGATCTCAGCATTCGCGAGCATCGACTATTGGTCGGCGGTTTTTGCTGGAGGAAATTTACTCGGGATCGGAAAAGGTTGCAGAAGTATCTCAAAATTTAAAGGAAGACGAGATGGCCACAACACCGGAGACCACGTCAAGTACGCACACGAGGGCGGAGCCTTCTACATCGAACGATAAATTGCAGTATTTAGAGGGCGTCGAGCTGGACAAGACCAATGTTATGCTAGTTGGACCTACCGGATCAGGCAAAACGTTATTAGCTAAGACGTTAGCTAGATTAGCAAAGGTCCCGATTGTCATTGCCGATGCCACGTGCTTGACGCAGGCTGGTTATGTGGGCGAGGATGTTGAGTCGGTGTTGTTTAAACTTTATCAAGCTGCTAATTATAACTTGGAAGCGACGCAGCGTGGTATCGTCTATATTGACGAGATTGACAAAATTACGCGTAAGAGTGAAAATGTGAGTATTGCGCGTGATGTATCCGGCGAGGGCGTTCAACAAGCCCTGTTAAAGATCCTTGAAGGAAGCACGGTGAATGTGCCTGAAAAAGGTGGGCGCAAGAATCCGCGCGGCGAGCATATTTCTATTGACACAACCAACATCTTGTTTATTTGTGGCGGTGCATTCGCTGGATTGGAAAAACAGGTCACGCATCGAAGTTCCCGATCATCGATCGGATTTGGTGCTCAAATGCCCAACATGCATTTAAAGAACAGCCACCAGATCGGTCGGCTTCTCTCTCAAGCGGAACCTGAAGATCTTGTATCGTACGGGCTGATTCCGGAGTTTATTGGACGTTTTCCGATGCTTGTCAGCACTACGGGACTTTCGAAAGATGAGCTGGTTCAGGTCCTCACCGAGCCGAAAAATAGTCTTGTTCGACAGTACAAGGCTTTATTTGCATTAAGCGGCGTGGAGTTCTATGCGACCGAAGGTGCATTGGAGGCCGTGGCCGAATCAGCCCTACACAAAAACACAGGAGCGCGAGGACTCCGTTCCATTTTCGAACGCGCGCTTATGGATACCATGTTTGATTTGCCTGATATGAATGACGTCCGTGCTGTGTATGTGGACGAAGAGGCAATCTTGGGTCGCAAGCAGCCAGTGCTTATTCGCGGTGATATGACACTTGCTGAGTATCTAAAAAATATCGAGGATGATAGCGATAAGCGGGAAGAGGCTGTGTAACCAGCATTGATAAATCCTATCGATCCCACTGCTGCGAAAGTGTTGTATCAAGGTGCGTGATTTCTCTGTGTTTTACGGATATGTATTTTAACCCAACTGAAAAGCGAAAAAAACAACGATCGCGGAAAAATTAAAACTAAGAAAGTTAATTTCACACAATATATCAAATGCATTCTCTTCAGCGATGCCGTTAGTGCGAGGGTTAATTTTACAGAAAACGCCACGCTGCATCCCATGGCGATAGCAAGCCAACATATAGGATTGGCCGTAAATTAAATTGTCGGAAACGCACTCACTATGGTGGCGGGGTTAACGCCGCCGAATCCGGTATTTCAAAGTAAAGATGAGTTAAGAATTGAGGCACGACGTCGTCGAGAAATTGAACGTGCAAAGAAGCTTGGGCCTGGTCGCCTTCGTTTGATCGGAGTTAGTCAAAAATATTTACCTGTCATTGATCGGGACTCACCAGTTTATTTCACTAGGCGGATATTGCAGGGGTAAGGAATCAACTTGAAGAGCGGCAACGGCAGAATGCAGAGCAGTACGAAGCCAAACGGGCAAGTGAAGAGGAAGATGCTGTCATTCGTCAGTACTTGCTTCAAATTGAGTCGGAAAATGAATTAGCAAAGCGTCGTGAGCAGCTGACACTGCGCAACGACTGGGATCACCAGACTGCCAAAGCTTTCCAAGCACGAAAACAAGCTGCTGCTATGCGAAAGGAGGGCATCGATCCTGATAGATGTGCACAAGGAGCTGCTCAGAAATTTGATGGTGAAGACATCGCTCAGCTGGAACGAATCCGCTTGCAGGCGATGCAGATGAAGCAATGGTCGATCAAAAAAATGGCCGAGGAAGCACAGCGCAATGCAAACGAGAAGGCAACACAGGCTGCGTACATGGCTCAGCTTTTTGAAATTGAGCAATTGATGGAAGAACTGCATCGAGGTAATGAGCGGGAACGAGCAGTTGCGTCTGCAGAGATTAGTCGCTTTAATCAACAGCTTTTAGCTCAGCAACGTCAAGCAGAAATTAATCGTCGTCAACAAGAGCAAGAAGAAGACGCTCGCGAGATTCAGCTGACGTTACAGAGCAATTTAGTGAGTGAAAATCCAGATCAGGCATCACTTCCTGGGGTTCCACTTGATCATAGAATTCGAGTTGACCACTGGAAGGGTTTGTCTGGAGAACAAACAAAGCGCTACCTACGACAGAATGACGACATTTTGCGTGAAAAGGCTTGTAAAATACAGCAAGAAAGGGAGCAAGCTGAGAAGGAATCTCAAAATCAGCGCGAACTCCAGCGTGCGCTCGCGATGGAAGAGTATCGAACTCAGCAAAGACAGACGCAGCTAAAGCTGGACATCCGTGCTACCCATGAACAACAGATCCAAGAGGCAGCAGAACGCGAAAAGATTAATGAACACGGCGCGCGTGGCAAGATTGAGCCTATCTTCTTTCAACGATTTGGTCGGTCTTATCGTTAGAAGCCTTGTCGGCTTAAGCGGTTGATTGATAGCTTAATAGCTGATCAAAAGAAGAGCAACATAATCTTAAAAAATACTTTAAATTGGCAATGCTCATAATACTTGTGTTGAGATTTTTGAAAGAAGTCTGTCAAGTATTACGGTGGCATTTTCTATTTCGTCGCCGGACAAGATAGTTACTGCAGCCTCATCATTCATGGATGATATTGAGGACTCAATCTCCTGACACAGTGCCACAAAATGAGTGAGTTTGCGACGTTTTTCCGGCAAACCTTCAAGCTGGTCGTCGACTGATCGCTTGGATGCCAACACGTTATTCCTGCTGCTTTCGTCACGCGACCCATTAGACTCGTCAGGAAATCTGTCTCTAAATGAGTCGAATAATGAATCTTGGCAATTCTTGAGTGACTGAAGTGAGCTCAGGCTAGCCTTTTTCATAAATTTGATTATACCTTCCGAATTGAGCTTCCTCATTTCCACATACTCAATGAAAGACTGCCGACTATCACCAAGAAACAACGCACTTGGAGAGGCATCTACCAGCTCGACAATGTTTGAATGTGTAAGTAACTTGTACACTGCAGCAAAGGCGACTGATTGCAGCAATGCTGAATTCGGTATATGACAGCCAGCTGTGCGTTGAACACAGATAAGACTCTGAAACAAAGAAAGTAGCAGCTGCCACACAACAGGCATGTCACCACTGGCAACTTGCATGTCGAACAGAACAGAATCCACAAATTGTGCTATGTTGAATAAAAAGCGTCTCGAAACGGCATCTGGTGAATTATGCGTGTTTTCGACAATAATAAGAAGATCTTTCAACAATTGCACGCACTGATTTTTTCTGTTGGCCTTGATAATCGATCCAAGCTTTGACAGAAGATACAAAGATGACTCTAAAGCTCGCTCGAAGCTGTGAGCTTCAGCTTTCTCCAGCTTTGTTTTTCGACTCGACCGATGGTTCCCTATCTGTGCGCATAATAAATGTGATATTGCTAGTTGGCTATGTTTTGCTAGTTGTGATAGTGCTTCAGTGGCGATGCGAGCCACAATGACCGATAACTCTTCAATATCATTTTGGTCTAGCCCATTGTCGTCCATCACCGCTCTCAAAACAAGGAGACATAGATCTAACACACGCATCATGCCAAACAAACTTTCACGCCTTGTTGTGTAACTACTTTTTTTGGAAGACATCAGCTCAAGAATGGTACCGCAGCATTCAAAGCACACTGGAAGGTATTTAGCGATCCACTCATTCTTTTGTTGACCATTGTACTCTTCTAAGAAGTGGACGGCAACAAGCTTTTCCAGCAACTGTAATTTTGAAGCCATACGAAGATCAAAGTGATGACCAGGACCTTCCGTACTGATTAAGTCAATGACAGATGTCACTCGGTCCATGCACATGTCCTTCAGCGATTTCGGTAAATCACTGTACACGAAAGCGATCAATTGCAACACTTCCTCTTCAACTCCACTCGCAAGTATAAATGATGTATCAACGTTGTCAATATCCCACTGGGTTAATTTAAGGAGCATCTGAAGCGTGTGCGCAGAAAGTGTTTCGTCCCAACAAAAGCACAGCAATTCTCTCCAAATATCCCAGCACAATGTGCGTTGCATCCAGTCGGGATACAAGGTTTGCTTTAAGAGTAAAAGCTGAAGTTCTACAATATCTTCAAAGCTCAAGAAATATTGTAGTATCAAATCTGTGAACATCTTCAATGGTTCAACAGAGCTAGAAGTTTCATCAATTAGCGCACATTCTCGATAGCGGGCGAACAATTTCGCGACTTCTACGGCTTTTTTTAAATTATTATTCGGTGGTTTCTCACTTTGTGCAATGCTCGATAATTGTTTTGTCATCGAGCCAGCAAACGCGGTCAGCAGTAGTAGATGTCCCCACCGAGTCGTCTTTTCAATATTATTTTTAAAGGTTTCGATCGGTTGTCGCTGCCCCACCGCACGCACCATATCATCAGCTGGGTACCATAACAATTTGCTTATACTGTCTGGTGATTTATCATAAACTGTGCCATCAGCTAGCATTTCGGCCAATTCTAGTGCTTGATCGAGCATACTTCGCAAGTCTTGCTTTGCATTGAACGGCACCAAGTTATGACGCTCAACATAGAGCAGAGTTGCTGTCACATTCACAAGTGCTAGCACGCAATTTTCTAATTCATACTGCAGATTCTCAACCAGCGAAGAAATAAGTCGTAAGAATGCTCGCCAATACAGTTTAAAAAATTTCAGCACGCCAATATCTGGCGGTGTAGTAGTATGACTATTCAAATTGCAAAGCATCTGTCCAGCACTTCGCTCAACCGACGTCACAACAGCGCCCAATATTTCGTCCACATTAAACCTTTTCGCGCCGTGTTCCTCTTTGTCGTTCTCTTTAGCAGCCTCGTTAGATGAACACGAGGTTGTTAAAATTGGCCCAAACGCCGTTGCTAATTTCGCCACGTTCTACGCAGCATGGTAAACTCGTTAGCTTTTGATGTGAAGATTAATTTATCATGAGTTGGACTGTCGACTACAACCTTCCAAACAAATGTCTCCACCTTTAAGTCAGGAGGCCCATCGTCGCGTTCCTCTAACTTATTGTGTAGCTCCATCAACATCAGCACGATGTTCACTATGCAATCTGTCCAGCCAAGTGACTCTTTTTCAGTTTTGCTTCCATCTTTTGAAGGATCCAGATTTGCAATAAATGAAGCATTGTGATGTACCAAAGCTAGTACTTTGTTCCCCCATTTTAGCCAACGCTTTCCACCTTCATCATTACCCAGATTTGTCGTTGCAATCCTTAAATATTGCAGCAATATCTGCATAACTTTGTGATTTAAATGCATTTTATCCGGTGTCATCCAACTAAGCAGCCCGTCCAAAAGCACTAACTGCACCTCACGTTCAAGGGAATCCTTGCTTAAGTCCGAAAGCAGAGTCATTACTACGGAAGTCCATCGCTCTTCTGATGTCGTCAGGATCGCCACTATGTCGTTTATAGCTTTCTCACGGTCTTGAAAGCATGTCAAACTTGTCACGAGAGCGCCGAGCTCGGCGATGACGGCGGAAGTGTCAGCACATGCGGCGAGTTGCTGTGACAAATTTACCATGAACAAGTTTTATCCAAGGATATTTGTTCAATACATTTGATTGAGTTGTATTATTTCTGATTTACATGTAGTATCTGTATATTGGCCACTAACACCTAAAATGAACAAACTTACCAATTCCTTAAAACGTATTTTATTGACATTTTCCTCAGTGCTGCTGCCCACAACTTTAATGATATCAGCTGTAGGAACCGTGTCGACATAAGCACCTGCTGACGTCAACATTACTAACTTCCAGTCCATCACCAGTCCTAAGTCTTTCGATCCAAGCCCTACGTCAAAGTTGTATTCGATGACCCGACCAAAGTCAGTGCTAACATCACCTTATCCATCGACGCTCAATCAAACTCCAACCCCAAATTTGAACCAGCATCCGAGTGATTTGGAGCTCCCGTACAATTGTAATAGTTGCCACTTAACGCTCTACTCCTTCTGGAACTGTCTCGTATATCATACACGCAAAAGTCTCTATCTAAATGGTCATATGAATCGTGTTTATCTTCCCATCTTGCTCGTCAGTGGCGTCCCTCTTGCCATTGCTGTCATAGAAACTGCTCTTTTTGACCAACATTGCCATTTGGCATGCCATCCCTGGCTTTGATCTCACAGGCAATTCGATCATAGGCTCTGCCTTTGTGAATGCATTCACCACTTTGCTTTCGAAAAGTGCTACAGCTTCTGCGCATTTTGCATAATATACTACTATAAGAAAGAAGGAGTTTGATTTTTTTTGGTGATGATTCTGGAGATGAGGATATGAACTTAATCAATATGGTCCGCATATCTGTTCAAAACCGCGTTGATATACCGGATGAGGATGATACGCCGAGGATAGCTCCACTGCGACTGCTCCCTTGAGCCTATTTGCAACGGGGCTGCCGTAGCAAAACGCTTGAGGAAGCGTACTGTAGGTCACCGAT